ATTCTACACTGGGGTTTTTCGGTCATGGCATATGATCGGGTGTGAGTGCTAAGCTTTCGTTTAGACTGTCATTATTTTCGAATATTGGAGAGGTTTGGATTTCCATTATCTCAGAATATTTTGTCTGTTCTGCTTCCATTTCCCTTACGCACTCGTCTATGACATCTATAAGATAGCATGTGTCGTTCATGGCTGGTGCTTGTAAGAATTGAGTAAGGATGAATTCCACTTTTTCTTCTCCAACTTCGAATGTTAGTCTGCCCTTCTTTACATCAATTATAGCTCCGACGGTGGCTAGGAAGGGTCTTCCTAGTATGATAGGGGTAAATGAGTCCTCGGTTATGTCCATGATGATGAAATCGGTCGGGATATAGAATTGACCTATCCTAACTGGAACATTTTCCAGTATACCTACAGGGTATTTAACTGATTGGTCAGCTAATTGGACGGATATTTTCGTGGGTCTGAGTTCTCCCATCTCTAGCTTTTTGCAGATAGATAGGTGCATGACGCTAATACTTGCTCCTAAGTCACTTAGAGCTTTGTCTATGACAAATTTTCCAATATTACAAGGTATAGAGAAACTACCTGGGTCTTTTAACTTAGGAGGCATATTGTTTTGAATGATCGCGCTACACTCGGCAGTGAGTGTAACTGTTCCGTTATCTTCTATCTTTTTCTTGTTGGATAGAATTTCCTTGAGAAATTTAGCGTACGAGGGCATCTGAGTGATGGCTTCTGTAAAAGGTATTGTGATATTGAGTTGTTTCAGAAGTTCAACGAATTTCTTGAATTGGCCCATCGTTTTGGAATTTGTAAGTCTCTGAGGATACGGAATTGGTAGTTTATAAGGTGGTGGAGGTACATAAGGCTTCTCTTGCTCCACTGCCTCTTGAGTTTCGTTTTCCTTTTCTTTTTCTTTGGGTTCATTGGCTTTTTCAGTCGGCTCGCTCTGTTTTTGGTACATGGCTGGATTTTCTAGTCTCGGGTCAACAGGTCCGTCGAGTTCTTTTCCACTTCTCAGTATCACAGCATTAGCATATCCTTTTGGGTTGGGCTGTGGTTGACCAGAAAAAATTCCAGCCGGTGCTGCAGTAGGTGCTTGTTGTTGAGCTACCTGTGAAATTTGCGTCTCAAGCATCTTATTATGGGTGGCTAAAGCATCAACCTTGCTAGCTAATTGTTTTATCTGTTCATTAGTATGTAAATTCTGATTCATAACGTCTTTATTAGTCTGAGCTTGGGAAGCAATGAAGTGTTCTATCATGATTTCTAGGTTAGATTTCCTAGGAGCATTAGGTCCATTACCAGGATGATTTGGGATAGCTTTTGGATAACCGGGTGGTGTGGCAGGAGCTTGTCCAGGCGCGTATAACGCGTTGTTACTTTTGTATGAAAAATTCAGATGATTTTTCCAACCAGGGTTATATGTATTGCTATAAGGGTTCCCTTGTACGTAATTTGCTTGTTCAGCTGGAACTCCCATTAGAAGTGGGCACTCTGGAGCAGGATGTGATTGAAGACCACATAGATCGCAAGTTTGGACAACCGCAGCTACGGTAGCTGCAGGAGTAGTGGTAACGCTTTCTAACTTTTGGGTAAGAGCTTCCACTTTAGCATTGACTTGGTCCAAAATATTCACTTCAGACATTCCACCTTTGGTTTGGGATTTCTCCACATTAGCTCTTTCGCTTCCCCATTGATAGTGGTTCTGGACCATACTTTCGATAAGTTGATTTGCTTCGGCATATGGTTTATCCATCAGTGCGCCACCAGCAGCGGCGTCTATAGTCAATCTTGTGTTATACAAGAGACCGTTATAAAACGTATGAATGATTAGCCATTCTTCTAAACCATGATGAGGACAGAGTCTAATCATATCCTTGTAACGTTCCCATGCTTCGAAAAGTGATTCGTTATCTTTTTGTCTAAAACCGTTGATGTTAGCTCTAAGCATAGCAGTTTTGCTGGGTGGGAAATATCTAGCCAAGAAGACTTTCTTCAATTCATCCCATGTGGTGATTGAATTTGAAGGAAGAGATTGGAGCCAGGCTCGGGCTCTGTCTCTTAAAGAAAAAGGAAATAGGCGCAATCGTATCGCCTCGGGGTTTACACCATTCGCTTTTACAGTGTCTGCGTACTGTACAAACACTGACAGATGTAGGTTAGGGTCGTCAGTAGGAGATCCAGAAAAATTGGTTCTGCTGAACGGCGGATAAAAGCGAAGGTTTCAGCTCGAAATCGTTTCGAGCAATAGTAGGAGCGGCAATGCTGTTGTGAGGTTCCGCTTGCGAAGGAACTGCGTAGTCCTTAAGAGCGCGAGGCGGATTCGGTACGTCAGCCATTGTCGATTCTTCGATAAATTCTGATAACGGGATATCAGGAATTTTAGTCGGAGGAAGATTGTTGAGAGATCGGTATTCTTGAATTCGGCGTCTTAATCTTAAGTAACGCTCGATATCGTTAATTTGTAGATGCAAAGGCTCGTTTTGCGAACGAGTGTTTGGCATACAACAAAGGGAGATATAAAAAGTTGCCTTAGTCTAGACAACGTTGTTTTCAGATTACACTAGTGACTAAACTAAAGTCCCCGGCAACGGCGCCAAAAACTTGATGTGGTTGCGATTGACCTAATGTGTCTAACGGTATCTTAACTGCAAGTGCACAGTCTATCGCGGTAGTAATAAAAAGATGTCGAACCCACAGGGACTTCGTAATCACTCTAGTGTTATAAAACAGGTTAGTTTAGCTAAGGCGGAAATTGTAACGTTAGTTTTTAGAAGTTTAAAACTAAAGGGGAAACTAAATTCAATTAAAAGAATTATAATATTAAAGCGGCCGGAGTGTAATGTTTGGAACCTAAGCGAATTAAATTGTACCTAAGCATATAAAAGTATTCAACTTAAATTGTTCTGTAGTATTTATCAGTTTAAAAACCCTCGATTCACACTCTCGTGGTCTTACCTCGAATCATACTCCTAAAGTCAAATGTCTGCTCTCGCTAGCCCATAAGTGTTTAGAAAGCATCTTTTTGAAAACTAAATAAATCTAATTCGTTTTAAAGCGCTCTCGCTGTATTTAAATCGAATGCCTAACTTTAGCTATCCGGTTAAAACCTCACACTCTCGTGGTCTTGATTTCTCCCTATTTTACTTTCCTTACTCTCGTAACGAAAAGCTTAATTTTTAATTATAAAAAGTCACGGCCAGAAATTAAGTTAATTAAGGTTTTAGCTTAGAAATACATTAATTCATTCGGTTATTTCATCACACCCCGACTACGGGTATTTAGCTACTCATAATGCTCAGAATTAAAATGCTGGAAATAAAATTAGAAAACAATAACACATGCATTATAATTAAAGAATAGAAATTTAACATAAATAAATTTGCAATTATATCAAATACAATAAAAAACCTGAAAAGCAATAATATCCTAGATCCTTCTTCCACAAGCCGGCAAGATTGAAACGTCGGAATGAAAATTAAAATGAACGAAGTGCGAAAATAGAATCGAGATTTAAAATCGGCAGAGCTTCCGCAAAGTTTTTTTGTGAACTGAACTCCCCTCTTTTTCTTTCCAAGTCTAAGCTATTTATAGAGAATAAAATACGGTTGGAATTATATTTCAGTTGCTAGATTCTTGGCTTGCTGAGAAAAATAAGGAGAAGGTGGTCTTGGTTGTTGGAGAAAAACAAGGTGTACATGCATGCTGTTACTTGACCACGTCCTGTTACTTGACCACGTCCAAAATAGCCACTAATATGCTTGTTACGATCGTAACTGCTTCGTTACGTGCAGTTTCCATAAGATAGCGCGTTACGGTCGTGGCAAGGGCGTGACGGTCGTAACACGCTTCTGAAGCGTCTTACGGTCATGGCAAGGGCGTGACGACCGTAATAGCAGCAATTATGGATTTTTTTGACAGATTTATCTTTTCTCTTCTGGTCTTGGCCGCAATCTCGCACATTTCACGTTTCTTTCTAGTTTGAGCTGAGATATGTTGTACCTGCATAAAATCATACAAAACTCGGAATATTCGAGAGTTAATCGGGTCAATATGATATAAAGCGGATTAATTTTATGGTAAATATATGATACGATTTCTCGTTATCAACGCTTAATATACTCTAAAAATGGAAAATATGTGGTTGTTGGGAATCGAAGCGTGCTACACATCAATTTTTTATTATGGTGTTTAAAATCATCCGTCATTAATAAATCCAGCAACTCATTAGGCGCGAAAATTTTAACCTATTACTATGGTGTATATGGATACGTCGTAAACATAGTGTTATTGTTTATGCGTTTTGTAGTAGTGTCTAATAGCCTGCATGTGTCCTAAAAACTGAATATGTTGAACATGTACCGCAAAAATATTAGCAAATAAAGTAATTCCTACGGACAAAGTGAATTAATTGAATTCTACCCGTTCAAGCATGAAGTAATATACATAAATAAATCCTTGTAGTCAAGAATAGGTCACAACGGGCACTTTTTATAGTGTATATATCCACAAGAGAAAAAGATAGTCGAATGTTTCAGAGCATGAAAGGTAAAAAAACTAGGTAAGGAATTGTATCCACCAAACATCTTCATGTATATGATAAATGATAAATTAAACATCTATTCAGACCAACAAGGGGTAACTTAGAAACAACAACAAAACAACTCGGCAATCTCTAAACTGCAAGGTTTGTTGCATTGTCGTTAATAAGACTAACTTGCACGGAAACTTGTTGTAAGGTGAGGATATTTAACCGAGTAAAACACCCATAACTTTACAAGTCAGTTTGTTTTTTATTCTAGTGAAAGCAAACAGAAAAAGCCCTTATAGATTCACCTTTTTTTAAGAAAAAACCTTATAGATCCAACAATAAAATCACCCACAACAAAAATAATTGAAAATTTCTCTAAACTTAGGGTACCAAAACCTCAACCATTTGCAGTAAAAAAAATCAAGTAGATAAAACATGGTAATCAGAAATCTCAACCTTTTTGATGTATTTTTACCGCGATTTTCCAAAGCTCTTTGTGGTCGGTGATGGCGTTGATCATCTCAAAACATCTCACCATCTAGATAGTCTTGGAAAACAGTGGATGTCGATTAAGAAAGACAATTTTGTGCTCAAGATTTCAAGAGGCAATGAATTGTTGGGAGAGAGAAAACGAAACAATGAGAAAGTAGAAGGAGAAGATTGGTATAGAAGACTTGTAGAAGCAGGAAGACATGTTGGATGAGACATATGGGGTTAGCTTTACAAAGCAGAAAGGCATTGTTCCAACAGATTTGTGAAATCGGTGCATGGTTAGGAAGCAGCAGCAGTATAGTTACATCATATAGTTCAGATAACATATGTTGCCATCAAATTTTTAGTTTGCATTCAATTATGAATTTAAATAATTACCATTAAGCATGAAAATGACCAATTATGGCCCTAAATCAGTGACATGCAACAATTAGGAGAAGGGTTATAAAAGTTTTTTCATTAACCTAAGATTTTCTTATACGGTAGATACAAAGAGAAATTAACTTTTGTAGGTATACAAGAACACTAAATGAGTAGTTTATTTTAGAATAGTATTTTCTAAATTCGGAGTCACTAAATTTTAGAAAGAAATGAGCAACTTGATCACCTCTCTTTAACTTCATTGTCTTTTTCTTAGTAGGAAAGTTATTCCTATACCATAATTTGACACTAATACTTACACCAAAACATTCGGTGAATAGTGTTTTTTTAAAAATAAAAATATATATTTATGAACAGTGTTGTAAATAGTATTGTGAATAGTGCGTGAACAATTTTCATGAATAGTATCCATAAAAAGTGCGTGAATAATGACTTTTAATGGTAAAATGAAGTTCGTTAATGAAATGTAAAAAGTTGGTTGATGAAATGATAAAGTTTGATTAATAAACGCCCAAATATTAAAATAATTTAATAGTAAAACAGAGTTAGTTAATGAAATATAAAAAATTAGTTATGAAATGATAAAGTTGATTAATAAACATTCAGACATTAAAAATAAAATTGAAATGTAAAAAATTGGTTAATAAAATTATAAAATTGATTAATAGCTTGCTCATATTTTTAGTGTTTATGAAGTTGGTTAGTAAAATTTAAAATGTTAGTTAATAGAATTATGAAGTTAGTTAATCACATCATTTTTTCGTACTCTTTCAACCTATAAAAATATTATTATAATATTTCACTGTTTCCCGTATTAATGACTTGAAATATGATATAAGAATAATTTTTTTTCTTTTTTTAACTCACTGTACTTTCTTCATTTTTAAATATAAATAAAAAATAAAAAATTTAAATTAAATTCAAATATATTTGATTTTTTTTATTTATATTCAACTGCTCATAAAAAGAAAATATCGTAAGGAATATGTGACTTGGACCAAAAGAAATATATTTGTATTACTCAATATCATGAGGAATTTAAGGTAAGAATAACTCAGCCTCATTTGAGTAAATAAGGTGTATTACGAGTAAAACTTGTGGTCCTTAGCTTGTAGTATAACCTGCCTCAACGCCCCAATAGGAGTTAAAACCACCAACGTTACTCCAAACACAATGCAAAACTAACACAAAAAGAAAAATCAGATTCATACCATAAAATGTAAGCAATAAGCAATAACATATCAATATTGGAGAGGAGTTATAGTTTGCATACCCAATTTGCACACCAAGACAAGCTAAACATCTTTGGTTTGTAGATAAAAATCCACATTACGCAAGGGAGCTACGAAATCATCGCAAAATAATTAACATCATTATAAGCTTTTGTGTTATTGCAAAATGTTATTAGGGACTTTATTTTCCTTACAAAATATGTGGTTGGAGCAAAGAATAATCCCCCAAAGAAGCTTAGAAGACCACCAAAGAATGGAAATGCAATTGCTAGGAACATGGTAATGGCTACATATAAGTAATTGTTACATTAAAATTTTATATATATGTGAAAATTTTAGTGCATGAAATGGAAACTTTAGGTTTTAGAAATATGAGAAAGGAAAGCAAACTAACAAACATATGAATTTCGTGTCACGAATCGAAGAAACCGAGTTGGCTTGAAATTCATCCTTTTTACTAGAAATGATTCCATCATATCAAACACCGGAATTGCGTAGACCTATCAAGAAAATTAGTCAGAGGTAAACGATTAATTTCAAATAATCTTTTAAAACACATACACTCGCACAATGAAAATGAAACAATTCAAATTTCTCTAAGGCTAAAAAAATCAACAACTGCGATGAATCGGAGTTTGTACCTGATAACTTCCAACGACATGGACAAGAACAAAGATATTAGCAGCAACAATAAGCAAACGTGGTTTCTCAAGTGACAAAAGGATGTTATCATCAACAGAATTTCCAAAAGCGCGGTAGCCAAAGATAGTAACAGGAAAATAACACAAAGCCACTACTAAATAAGCAATTATCATCCCCCTCCACATAGATACTTTGGAGGGCTTTTCAGGTGTGGAAGGGATTGTTGCTTGGATCTCAAGAATCACAATGTGACCAGCATAACCAAAAGCTATATCCCCCAAAGCGTTAAATATTCCAAACACATTTCCTGCTTTTGATGAATACCTGCTACCATATTGTACACCTGGTTGAGCACCCTTGTGAATTGAAGCTATCCAAGCAATGGTGGAGTAACTATTCAAGGAGGAAAAATATTGTTATAGCTTATAACTTATAAGGTTAACACACTGACACTTCTGAAACACGTGTGTCTGGTGTGTGACACTAATTTGACACTGACACATGTGATTAATAAGAAGAATTAGAGTGAAGTAAATAGAATTAGAATTGATGTGGCTTACCTGAGAGACATGATAGCGGCGGTGAAAGAAACACTGGCGACGGAATTGAAACTGGGGAGATGGGAGAGAAAATATTGAACAAAAGCAAACATGAGAATGAAGTAAGTTGTCTTAATAGGTTTACAATCATCACAAAGAATCTCATGAAGTTTCTTCAGAGATTTTGCACCGGTGACCATGTAAACTATATCAATGCCAACCTCCACCATTAATTGTTGAGGCACAACAATCCATAAACCAAGTTTTTCACCAAATGCATGTTGACCTAATTCATGATACTTGTCAAATCTCTTTCCTGGTACGGATTCATGCATTTCAATCATTTGCCATGCAGTGTACAATGTGCAAATCCATGAAAGGATTAAAATTGTAATACCTAAACCCCTGAATAAAGATATTGACATATATCAGACACCAGACACCGAACACGTTTTTCAAATGTTGATTAATTAGATGGGAAGAATAACAATGAAGTTGACTAAATTAACCATCCAAGCTGAGACATAGCATAAGGGAAGCCAAGAACTGCAGCCCCAACCATAGCAGTTACATTGTGAAAAGCAGAATAGCACCATTTTGCGTTCCTTGGTTTAATGTTGTCATTTGTTTCAGCCATTTTTTTTCTTCTTTTTCACAGTGATGTTGTTTCAGACGGTTGTATTTAACATTTTTTTGCATGCTTCCCACTTTCTCCTACTTTTGTGCCACTATACAGCAGTTTCCAATTAGGAGCTGTTGTTGTTTTTCTCCCATTATTTTTCACTTATTTTGTGAAAATTTAAGAGAAATCAATTTTATAATATTAATATAAAAGGGTTGGTGGTGGTGGAGATAGATATTAACCTTTTTTTTAAAAGAAAATTTATCCTTTAACAGAAAGAGATAATTAGATTCTAACTAAGTATTTACCTGCTTTCTTTTTATTTCTGTATTATAAAATATTTTCAATTTTCATTTTCTAAAAATTTTCAGGTATTGACATTGTAAAAACTTTGTTTAAGAGTAAAAATAAGTAAAAAAATTAAGGATCTTTTAATTAATAATATAAAACTATTTGTATTGACCATGTACATATAACTTGGTAAAAAGAGGAGAATATTATTTTGACAGAGGCTTTTGACAACTTCTGATTATTTGAAGTGTGTTCAGGTATGACACAAACAATTAATGTGATTATTATTATTTAACAATTCTTGAACTCATTTGGTATTACTTGGTTTTATAGTATGTGAGGCTCTCGGTCAGTGTGGTATCAGAGTCTCAACAGAAAAAAAGGGTGTATATAGCATGAATATAATAAATAGAGTAAGTAAGAAAGAAAAATATTTAACCATGGCACTATCACAACAAAACAGTCATCCTATTACCACCACCTCTTCCCTATCACTTCCTAAACTCTGTAAAAAGACTGATACCCATAAAATAGAAAACCTTGTCGAGTATTCTTATGTTCCAGAAGATGCTCAAATTTCCGAAACAGTACCTCCCCTTTTAAGCCCTTATAATATCTTCAAAAAACAAAGAACAATTACCAGATCCATCAGAAACCTAATCTCTACCAATCGCCCTCATATGAAAGAATTCGTCCAGTCATCTCGACTAGACCAATGTAGTTTGAGAGCTACAAACCAAGAGCAGTATGTGGATTTAGAGATTCCTCAGAGTCTCATAAATCACTGGAAATCTGAAGGATACACAGCTTTACATTTTGGAGCAGTTAGACTCATCCTCTCTCTCCATGGAAGAAAAAATCAGCTTGTCTTCTGCAAAATAGCTCTCCTAGATTCGAGCTATCTCCATTATGAAAATGCTGTCATAGGGACTTTTCTGACCTCACTTCATGCAGGAAGCGTTGTTCTTACTGTTTTTCCAAATTATAATGTAAGCCTCAACGACAACACCCTATCTACAAGACTAAAGGTCAAAGTTCAAATCACTGGATCTGACCAAGTTCCAGAGGCCATGTCTAATACTCTCCATCACCAAATAATCTATCGCCTACAAAATCATTCGATAGATTTGCCTCTCACGGGATGTTCTTCTGATTCTCTGTTAGTAGTTACTAATAGAGAAGAAGATATACCCTCTATTGTTCAGATTCCAAGAAAGATCACAAGGGAAGAACTAACTCAGTTAATTCCTCTTGAGTGGATAACAAACTATGAAAAAATCCATCAAGATAGAAGACAAATACAATCTCAAGAGGCCACCTTTAGAAGATCTGTTGACAAAACGGTCAAAACAATTTTCAACAAACCAGATCAAGGATCGAGTTCAATTTCTCCTATTTTCCAGACCACGATGATCCGACCGATTGTCAAAGAAGATTGGTGCCCAGTTCATGCTGTAACTAGTAAAGGAGAACCTATCTATACTGACAAGATAAAAGGTCATTT